TGTGTCCCTGCCCTGGTGTGCGGGGCCACACAGGCACAGGAAGGGAGGGCGTGTGTGTGTGTGTGTGTGTGTGTGTGTGTGTGTGTGTGTGCTATTTTCCAAGCCCCATCCATCTCCCTGGAAGAGGAAAGGCTGGTTTCAACTCTAACCGCCATCCATCCGTGGAGACAGCATTCTGGAGAGCGGACAGGCCGCCCGTGCCAGGGAACCAACCACAAGTCCCAGCATGAAGGGGGCCTGTCGAAAGCCGGGGTGGCGCACTGCCAATGCACCCACAGACGTGACTGCCCCCCAGGGTTCATCCCCACCCACCGGGCACAACCGCTTCCTGGGCCCACTGCTAAGGCAGGCCCTGTCCCAGGGGCTGGGGTGCATGCAGGACACGGCAGTTCGCAAGCCCAGTCCCCCCGCGCTCCAGGTTTCCCGTCGGGAGAGCCTGGCAGACATTTCAGGGGAGGGAAGGGGGCAGGGCGTGGAGACCTGCTGGCACCTCAGCTTTTTGCCTGTAAAATGGGGAGTGACTAGCATGGCTGGGAAGAGGGAGGCCCTCACACATAAACAGGGGGGGACGTGACCCCCCCTGCCATCTGGACAAACAGGCCAGGGGTGGGAGCTGGAAAGGCCTGGCCAACACCACTCAGAACAGGGGGCCTGGCTGGGTAGCGTCCACTCGGGAGAAGCAGCCGAGGCCCGAGGGACAGCAGAGGGGACACTCCACATGTGTGCGGTATCCAGGGGCGAACCTCGAGGCCAGCTGCCGGGCCCCAGGCACCATGACGCCGGAGGCAAAAGCCGCTTGGCCCCTACCTTCCAGCCTGTTCCCTGGAACCTCCAGGGCATTCTCTTCCCCTGCCTGCCTCCTGTCTCTTCCCCCCGGGGCCTGGAGTCCTCTGGGGGGGAGCCCCGTGGAAGGGGCTCATAGGGCATTCTCTGCTGCGTGCTCTGGGCAGGGCCAGGCTCCCAAAGACCACAGTGGGGACACATGCTACAGTTCCCGCAACACTTGTCTGTCGCCCAAGAGCTGTAGGGCGGGCAATACAGCAGCACGAGGGGCACTCGCACGTGGCTCCTAAGCGAATGCACACACCGAGAGAGTGTAGCCCAAGAGAGGAGGGCAGGCCGGGCTGCTTTGAGCCTGCAGTGGGGCCCTAGCCCCGCTCCAAGTAGAGGGACAGAGCTCTGAGCCAAGACCAGCAGAGATGGCACTGGTCAGAGCGGAAGGGGTGGGGTCAGCCAAGTTCTGCTGTGCCCCTTGCCCCAGTGCCCAGCAGTAACCTGCACCCAGAGCAGGCACCTCCCCCCCAAAAACAAAAAATGCTGGTTGAGTGACCACCACCCAAGAATGAATGACTCACTCACTTGAGGTCCTAGAGTTCAAGGGCCCAGTGTGGTCTGCAGGGAGCTGGGTGGGATCAGGTGCCCCGAGCGCAGGCACAGGCTGTGGGTGGGGTTGGCAAGACCTCCTTCTACTTTGTGACGACCCCCCAGCCCCACCCCTGTTGACCTCCCAGGCAATGGGGCCGCAGCCGACTTGTTGACTGGGAAACACAGCTGTTCATGGACACATAATGTGCCTCTGTGGCCCTTAGGTGGTGCCCACAGGCCCCTTCCCACTCTGGGCGCAGGGCAAAGGAACACCTCTCCAAGGGCATCCGATGCTGGGGTCGAAGCCGCGGCCTCCGGCTCCCTGTCTGTCGCTATCTTGACCGGGCGGGGGGCAGCAGGCAGTTTCAGGGTCTCAGGGAAGTAAGCCCAGCACCGCAGCAGCGGTCAGGATCGAAGGCCTGTATGTGAAGGTGTCCACGGTGCGAGAACCGGCTTGTTTCCTTTCCTCCCAAACTGCAGGGCCCAGGAAAGCCTCACTGGCGGGATGTGAGGGCCGGCAGAGGCCAGGGGTTAGGCCATTTCCCTGGCTGCCAGGTCCCTTTGCGGGGCACTTCCACGGGGCACAGAGGGACAGGAGAAATGGAATGACCCTCATGAACCAGACGGGCACTGCAGAGACTGCCTTCTAACATGCGTGTCCTAGGAAAGCGAGCCCAGGGCCCTGAGCTTTGAGTCCTTCTTGCCAGCCCAGAGCCCTTGGGCTCTGGTGGGCAGGGCCTAGGGTGGCACAGGAGGGTGGCCGGTGGTGTGTTCCCTTCACCTAGACCCTGGAGGCACCAGCCTCCTCTGGTTGGGTCAGAATATGAGGTCAAGGGATCCTCTCTCAGACGTGGATCAGGAAGGCCTGGAAAGCTTCCATTGCCTGGGCCTTGGCCATGAATGTGTGTGCGCTGTTTGCAAACCACAAGGTCAGTGGTTCCACACCCCCTCCACCCTCCTCCCCACCCCCGCCTACTTCTCAGGAGAGGATGCAGCTGTCTCTCCCTACAAGGGCAGGGCTACTCTGTCCTAGAGGACTGCTGAGTCGAATCGACTCAATGGCAGTGGGTTTTGAGATGCTTAATTGTTGGAGCCCTGGTGGCACCATGGGTTGGTTATAAATGCAATGGGTTACTAGCTGCAAGGTCAGTGGTTCAAACCCACCAATCACTCTGTGGGAGAAAGATGAGGTTATCTGCTCCCATGAAGTGTCAAAAACCAAGGGGGCAGTTTGACCCTGTCCTCTAGGGCATTGCTCCGAGTCTGAATCCACCGGGCAGCGGTGGGTGTGGCATGTACAAGGTGATCACTGGTCCCCATGCCATCGGCTAGATCCCAACTCCTGGCGACCCAATGGGATTCAGACTAGATCTGGACGCCAAGGACTTTTCAAGGCCATGCCCTTTCCAGAGCACACTGTTGGGCCTTTCTGCTGAGCCACTGAGTGAAATTGCCAACATTCTGGTTAGAAGCCAAGAGCTAGCTAGGCGGTCGGTGCCACTCAGGATCCCTGTGCTGGTGGGTGTTTCACCAGCAAGTGGGCACGCCCACGCGTGCCAGGGGCAGGAGCTCCAGCTTGGTTTCCCTCATGGCAGATGTCTCACACTATCCCTTTCTGAATAGTTTGCTTGAACGCCGAAGAACAGGAACACGGTGGTTGTAGGAGGCATTTGGGGGCCGTGCCTGAGACCCCTGGGCTGCCCAGCAGCACCCTCACCCTCACCTTGCTGGTGGCTGTGGCGGCAGAGCCGGGCAGCACAGGTGTGTTGGTGACCTGCACATTCAGGTAGTTGTTGTCGATGAGTGGCCAGGCGCCCTGCACCTTGCAGGTCTGGAAGCGGTCTGTGAAAGTCCTGAGGTGTGGGTCCCCGAAGAGGCCGCAGTGTGTGTAGTTGGGGGCGGCTGAGGGCTTGTGGAAGCTCTTCTCGTAGTGGCAAATCTCCGGGCTGTCCGAGCGCTCCTGGCTGTCCCCCGCCGGTGGCAGAGTGCGCAGGCGAGGCTGGGAGGTGGGGCCATCCTTGGAGCAGTTGTGCTGGCTCATGAGGTCCTCGATGCCATGGACCGCCGAGTGGTAGGCCAGGTCGCCCCGGCAGGTGCGGGCCGTGCGCCGTGTGCAGTAGGCGTAGGCGCGCAGGGCGCTGCAGACCTCGGGGGTGTCTTCCGTGTGGCCCCCCGACGTGGCTCTCCAGAAGTCAGAGTTACACTTGAGGATCTTGCAGGGCAGGGTGGCTGTGGAGAGACGGGGACACGGTGTTAGGGCAGAGCCTGGTGGTCTCCCAAGGCCTCCTTGGGTGTCAAAGGTCAGTTCATACTCATGTAGCCCTCCCCAAGAATTTCGGCAAAACCAAGAGACATTTACCACTGAAGCTAAGTCCCCTGTTATCAATATGACACTGGGTTGACCTTGGGCAAATTAAGCTCTCTTGTGCCTCATTTTTAAAAAAAAATTTAAAACATTTTATTAGGGGCTCATACAACTGTTATCGCAATCCATACACACATCAATTGTGTAAAGCACATTTGTACATCATTCTCAAAACATTTTCTCTCCATGTAAATCCCCGACATTAGGTCCTCATGTTTCCCCTCCCTCCCCGCGCCCCCCCCTCCCTCATGCGCCCTTGATAGTTTATAAATTGGTATTTTGTCATATCTTGCCCTGCCCGACGTCTCCCTTCACCCACTTTTCGGTTGTCTGTCCCCCAGGGAGGAGGTCACCCACAGTTCCTTGTAATCGGTTGCCTCTTTCCTACCCACTCTCCCTTTACCCTCCCTGTATCGCCACTCACACCACTGGTCCTGTAGGGCTCATCCGCCCTGGATTCCCTGTATTTTCAGTTCCTATCTGTACCAGTGTACCTCCTCTGGTCTAGCCAGACTTGCAAGGTCGAATTCGAGTCATGGAAGTGGGAGCAGGGAAGAAGCATTTAGGAACTAGAGGAAAGTTGTATTTCTCGTCGTTGTTACATCTCACCCTGACTGGCTCATCTCCTCCCCGAGACCCCTCTGCAAGGGGATCTCCAGTGTGCCTCATTATACGTATCTGAAAAATGGGAGGATACTAAGTACACCACGTAACGAGCTGCTAACCATGGCACTAGGCCACGTGGGCAGTTCAAAGCGACCACTCACTCCGTGGGAGAAGGATCAGGCTGCCTGAGAAACCAAAAGGGGCCGTTTTCCTCTGCCCACAGGGTCTCGATGAGCAGGATCACAGACAAAGCGTTTGGGGCCACACAAGGCTGATGAGTGTCAGTGATCACATGGTAGGCAATGAATGCCCAGTGAATGCTGGCTACCATGTTTACTGTCCTGGCTGGATTACATACGTATCACAGATCCCACATGGCCACACTGCTTCATAGCGTGATCACTGTACTCGTCACAGCCTGGCTCCAGTCAGTTCATCTGAGGAGCATGGTTCCCCCTCTTTGTTCCTGTACTTGTGTTGCTTGTTGTTAAGTAAGCTTTTGACACCTCAGTATAATTAGCCAAGGATGACCATGGCTGAGAACTGTGGCTTTTGGACGCTCTAATCTCATGCCCACAAACATGGAGCCTGCCCTCTCCTGCCTTTCTGCGTTCTTCAGCACAGCCCCAATGCCCACCAGTGGTCAGGTGCACACAGGTTTGTGGCAAGAGGGCATGTCTGGACTGGGGCGGAGTGGGGGTGAGACGATGCCACTACAGGCTGGGCCACTGTGGTTTGTGACCTTGGGCGGGTCTGTTGGCTTCTCTGGCCTTGACTTTTTACTTGTAAAACAGAGTTCGGAGTAAAGCCAGGGGTGGGAACATTTGAGGGAAGCCAACACCGGAGCACGTCTCCCCCAGCACCTGTGGCCCCCTCGGTGTCGTGAGGTCTGAACTGGGGCCCCCACATTGCTCTCTGCCTCCACAGGGGGAAGCCAAGTGTCAGGAAGCTTAAGAACCCACGTCCCACATCCGGGGAACCAGTTCTCAAATCCACGAGTTTCCCCTGTGACTCTGCTGCCCCTCACCCCCTAACTTGTGTTTGTAACACTGCAGGTGATCCACAGGCATTTCTGGGGGCATTTGGTTATTTTAAAAAATGAATTACATATTTACTTAGATGCGTATTAGAACATAGCTGGAACGGGCAAATGCGCAGACAGAAGTTTATTAGTGGTTACCAAGGCCTGAGGTGTGGGGGGACAGAGAGTACCTGCTTAAGGGACAGTGAGTTTACAGGGCTGACGTGACGGTGGTGATGGTTGTGTAGCATGGTGGATGTACTCAACGTCATTGAAATGATTAATTTTTTGTTACCTGTGTCTTATAATAAATATTGGATCTTCAATATTGGATCTTGAAACAACACTTCAAGAAAACCGTTAAAATGAAGTGGAGCTTTGGGGGTGTGCATGAAATGAAATGAGAGGTTCATAGGATCCCCGAGCTGAAGGGATCAGACTTTTTACACCTTCTACCTGCTGTGGACATTCTCCACCCATTTACTGCCATCGCAGTCAATTCTGACGCATGGTGACGCTGGCTGCACAATTAAAGGAACAATAAAAAATAAAATCTAACAGCAAGTATGTGGCAGGTGGTACCAGCTGCCCCGCTCACCAGCTACCCGGCAACTAAAATACGTATCAGAAAAAAATGGATACAACACCAAACACATTCCTTTCCCGCAGCTTTATTTAAAAAGGCGTGTGTGACTCTGGGGAGTCCTGGAGGTGCAGCGGTCCCCTGTTGGGCTGCGACCCGCAGGGTCGGCTGTTTGAAACCACTAGCAGCTCCTCGGGAGCAAGACTGGGCTTTCTACTCCCATTAAACAAGTACAGTCTCGGAAAACCCAGAGGGGCTCACTATGGGTGGGCACTGACTCAATGGCAGTGAGGAAGGGTGACTTAAAGGCCGAGAACAGGCGACGGAGGGTCAGCTGGTGGCAGCTGTGCAGGGACACGGGGTGGCTGTGGGCCATCTCACCCACTGGCTACTCAGCGTGTCTCCCTCACAGAATCCTCTAGCCTTGGGTCTTCTTGGTTCCCCAAAGGATGGCCCCCACGACAAGCCCCCAGCCTCAGGACCAAGTGTGGCCTAGGTGGGAGAAAGGCAGACTTGGGGCGGGGTACGGTGCTGTACAGAGTAATCTCTGTGTGGTAGTCAGTCTGTTCCCACAAAGATCACCCTTGAAAACCTTATGGGGAAGCTCTACTGTCACATGGGGCCACGGATTTGAGTCAAGTCAATGCACACAGCATCCACAGCAATGAAGGCCTTGGCTGTTGTGACTAGCTACCTGTTCCTCTCAGGTGCCAGTGGCCGTTCTGGCAGCCTCATTAGTGCGGGGAGCAGTCACCGGTGTGCCGATCTGCTATTCTGCTTTCTTAGGAAGGGAGACTGGCCAGCCGGCTGTCTCTTCTCTGGCCCAAGCCCACCAGCAGGGGGCATGTTTTTGCAGCCCACCTCCAGCCCTCAGGGAGACCAAAGGGGAGAGAGGGCGTTCCCACCCGAATGCACACTTCAATTCCCTGCAGCACAATCGGGAGCTGCCCTGGACATCTAAGCTCCTTGAGGCCAATGTTCAGTGTGTGGCAGCTCCCCCACTTGATTCAGGGAGTGCTGTGGGCATTACATCCTCCCAGGGCCCAGTGGGAGGGTGCACCCGCCATTCCCAAGGCTCAGCGAACCAAAGCCAGGCTCAGTGGGGCTAACTTAATTTCTTGCCCAAGGTCTCACTGCCAGGAAGGAACAGAAGCAGGATTCAAATCCAGTCTGGGGGACCTGAGAGCCAATCATAGTGCATTTCACATTCCCACTGTCCGAGCGCCCCTCCAGCTCCTGTCCTGTGCTGTACACACACACACACACACACACACACACACACCACACATACACACACACACACACACACTCTCTCTCTCTCTCCAGGTAGGTCTTGCAGTGTGGACAGAAGGCTTAGAGGCAAGGGTTAGAATTGCTGTCCAAGGCAGGGTCACCTTGCACACAGGGCAGTATAGAATATTCCAGGTCCCACGCCTGACCTTGGTGTGTGGTTTTATCCCCCAAGTGGGGACTTTTATGGGGGAGGCTCTTCAGCTTTCATGGGGGCGGGGGTGGCAAGGATCTGCCTGCTCTGTGGCCCAGCTCCTTGTAACCCACTGAGTGTGAACTACACAGGCAACACCCCATCCAGGGGCCCTAAAGAGGGGGCATTCCTCCCATGCTCTGGGGTCATGAGTGGGAGGGGTCACCCTCCAGACATGGCTCCCAACACTTTAGGGAGCCCCTCTGCTCAATGCCTTTGCCCTCTGCAATTGGGCCAGAATGCAAGCAGTTAGGGTTCCAAGGGGCTGGTGAGGCGGCAGCTCTAGCAAGCTCCAGCAGGGGTGGGGGTGGGAGACTGCTCAGCCCACAGACTGCACTTTGAGGCCTTTATTTCCAATAGTCATGGAGGGAACACGTTAAAGCTGCCGGAGCTCAGCCTATCTGGAGTGTGCTTGTCTCTGGCCAAACCCAAAGCAAACTCACTGCCTGGAGCCAATGCCGACTCATAGCGACTGCCTGTGGGTTTCCGAGACTATACCTGTTTGTTGTTTTTTTTTTGACTATACCTGTTAACTGGGGTAGAAAGCCCAGTCTTCCTCCCAAGGCGCTGCTGGTGGTTTTGAACTGCAGACCACTTGGATGGCACCTCAACGTGTAACCACTATGCCATCAGGGCTCTTATGGGCTGCACCTCCACAGGGACTGGAAGGGTGATGGCAGGTGGAGTGGGTGGTGAGAAGAGACAGTTCTTCCCTTGAGTGAACACCGCTAGTTTAGTGCCAAGCCAGGAGTCAACCCTCACATAGGGCCCCTCCATCTTTCTCTCCCCCCACCCTCCACCCCAGCTGGCAGGAGGGAGGCAAGGCTGCAAGCATGGCAGGTCCATCCACCACCCACAGGGGGCGACAGAGACCGCTCTTCACAGACAGGCCGGCGCGAGGAGCCTGGGCCTCCCTCCCAGTGTCTCCTCTCTCCATGGCTGCCTCTGCCACTCTGCTGACTCCATTTTCAGTCATCCGGAGAAGAAACTCATGTCATCAGTCAGGGCCCGAGCAGACACTGGCCACCAGAGGGAGGGCCTCTTGTGTCAAATCCAGGTCTCTCACCTACTAGCCAATTGGGAACTTGGGCAAGTCGCTTGCCCACTTGCTTCTGCTCCAATTCTCTATGGCCAGAATTCCCCGGGAAGGGTCCAGCAGGGCCTCAACAAACCAGTCCTGACAAGGCCCCTGTGAGAAACGAGCTTGCTCGCAGCCCTGTGAGATCGGAGGCTAGTCCAGTCGTGGGTAAGGGAGGGACAAGAAGGTGGGCAGGGGCCAGCCCTTGCACCTGGCTCCCTCCCTTTGATAAGAGGACTCCAGCACCCCCAGCTGGCTCTGGGCAGCTCCTTCTATCTACTCAGCACCCAAAGACACCACCCTATCCACCAGTGGTCCTCAACCTTCCTAATGCCGTGACCCTTTCATGTGGTGGTGACCCCAACCATAAGATTATTTTTGTTGCTACTTCTTAACTGTAATTTTGCTACTGTTAGGAATCCGGTGACCCTTGTGAACGGTTGTTCGACTCCCCCCACCCCAAAGGGGTCGCGACCCACAGGTTGAGAACCGCTGCTGTACACAGACCCGCCTTTCTGGTGCACCCAGATGGCTTCACCCACCCTCCTCACATTCACAGGAAGGAAGAGCCTCACCCTTCTCCTGCTCCCTCCTGACACCCTCCCAAGTCTCCTCCCCAGAAGGTATCAGCGTCCAAGGAGAGGGCCCCATAGCTGGAGGCCAAAACTCACTGCCATGGAGTCGATGAGGACTCATGGTGACCCTACAGGACAGGGTAGAACTGGCCCTGGGAGGTTCCGAGACTGCAATTTTCTGGGGAAGCAAGCCGCCTGTCTTCCACATGCTGCTTTCTGTTCTCCTTTATTGACGTCCCACGTCATTCCATGCCCCGCGAGGCCCAGGCGCCTTTCACTGTTGGACAAGCTAAGATTCTGCTCTGGGGGCCTATAGGGGATGGGGGCCTTCACCCAGGACTGCATTGGGATGTGGATCTGGGGAGTGGAGAGGAGACAGCAGATGGGTGGCAGTTCTCCAACAAAGAAGTAATGACAGTAATGACTCCGCGCCGTCACCAGACCCTGGGCAGGTTACTGACAAGCCCCAGCAGAGGGAGCAGGAATCGCTATCTCTATGTTAGGGATGTGCAAACAGAGGCCTCCAGGCGGGGACAGTAGCCACAGAGTTGGTGGGAGGCAGTTTGCCAGAGGCCAATTTGTGGGCAGAGCATGCCTGCTCCCCCTGCCCCCATCCAGGAGATGACTGGCAGTACTGGCCTAAAACAGATACGAATGGGGCTTTCTTGCCCAGGGCTGGACAGTCCCCATGGGGCTGTGAACTGAAGGGTCCATGGCCCTCAAAATATCTGTCCCCTCTAAACTCCCCTGCCCCCCACTAAACCCCTGGCCCCAGGTCTCTCTTGCTCCCAGGTCAGTGACCCAAATGTAGCATGGCCCCTCATCAAAAAGCAGCCTATGGGCTGCAGTGTCCCCTGCCACAGATCCCAGAAGGGCTGGCTCTTAGGTTCGGTTCTCTTTTAAAACACTAACGACATGCAGCTTGAATTCCCACTGAGGAACCTTGAGCGGTGCTGATGCAAGTGTCCAAGGGACCATTTCTGAGTTTAAACCTTACTCTTACTACTGAAGAGGATGTCAGCCTCCCAGCAGGAGGCATCCTTGGACCAGCCTTTTGTGATGGACAGAGGGCAGCCAGTCTCCTGGCCGGGTGGACGCGGGCTATTCCAGCGTGGCTCATGCAGATGGGAAACGTCCCCTCTAGCCCTTTAGCCAGCTTTGGTCTGACTCAACACTCCAGACAATGCACTCCGAGAGCAGGGAGTCAAGAAGCCCACTGGGATTTGGGTTTTCTTGAGCTTCCATTTCCATCTCTGCCCCTGGGATGGGACACGGTGCCCCCTCTGCTCCTGCTCTCTCTGGGCACCTGCAGCTCCAGCACGGAAAAAAAGCAAAGTTGGCCTCCAGTTGGCTCGGACTCAGGGTGGCCCCTACGTTCCAGAGCAGAATCTCCCCCCTGAAATGGCGAGAGCTGTGACCTTCAGAAGGGATCACCAGGCCTTTCTTCGACGGTACCTCCTTCAGGCATGGCCCCAGCGCAGGCAGGGTTGTGCCTCGCAGGGACTGCGGTCCTCACAGAAACACCCGGAAAACACCACGCTTTCCGTTCCTCAGACAGGAGCGAGATGAGATGAGGTGGTGCGACCTTGCGTGGTTTGCTTCCCCCAAGGCTTTGCGAGGTCTACAACTTTTAGGATGAGCTACTGTGGATCAAAGAGGGGTCTATCCAGAGGCCCTTAGAGACAGTGGCCAGGCTCAGGGCTACCAAAAGGAATCCAAGTCTCCTTCCCTCGTGTCCAGGGGAGACTTGGTACGGGGTGGATATGGGGGAATGACCCTGGAGGACTTGTGATGGCTTCTGTTCCCTGCCTCTTGGGGATCGAGCAGCCCTGGCTCACAACGTGGGGTGCTAGCGATGGCTAAAGAAGGGGCTCCCTGGATCTAAGAGATGGGAGGCAGTCACCCTTGGATACCCTTCTTACTCGCACCCGGGATTGGGGCCAAAGCGGGCAGCTTCCCTGTGCAACCCACTTTACCAAGACCCTGGCTCTGTGACCATACGCTGCTACTCCCTCTGGGCACTGGGGGACACCAGCGGTCCCTGATGTTGATGGCCCTCCGACGGGCGGGTGCCCAGTCTCTGTTGTGGAAAGTAGGGCACAGCTCAGTTTTAAGTCCACCCCTCTGTACCTCCCAAGGGCTCCTACCCTTGAATCCCAGGGCCTCAGCTCTTTTCCCTGACCCTGCTGTGGCTCTCTGGACCATCCTGCGACAAAGCCTGCCCAGCTCATGAGTCCCCC